CTAGTTTTAGTATAAAAATGTTGAAAGTTGCACCTTTTTTTTTTTCTTCCCCCATTGTGGCGCCCCAATTATTATATATATATTATATTATTAATAATTATTACTTAATTTATTTTATTTTACTTTTATTTGAAATTAGGACTTTTGTTCAAATGTGTGAAAATACTTGGACTTTAATGACCAGCTCAAAGTTCATTATTCCAATAATCCACTTGATGTGAATTATTAGACACAGGAAAAGAAACAACAACAAAAATCCAAAGGATAACCTGTGAAAGTGAAGACACTTATTTCCAACATGGACCCAAGATGTTAGAAGACAAAAGAAAAGACGTTAAACATTAAAAACAAGAACATAGTCCTGAAATCCACGAGCACATTTAGTACGATGAGTTCTCATATAAAATGTAGATATTATTGCACAAAGGGATGCAGTCAGAGTGCTCATACAGTCGCTGTAGGTTGTTCTCACTGTGTCTAATGTACCTGCAGTTACTGCAGTGAGTCAGTGTGAGGACACAGAGGAGGAGGTTCTCCTTCTGAAACCTCTCTGTGTGAACTACATCACAGAGTCACAGATCAGCACTCAGCTCTCCACCATCTTTACTCAAACCTGTGTGTGTGTGTGTGTGTGTGTGTGTGTGTGTGTGTGTTACAGCCCAGACTCACCAGGAGCCAATATAATTATGGGGGGGCTCAACAAGTCGTTCTCCATTGTAAGTCATCATTGTGTTACTTTATCACTTTAATATCTATGTTAGCTAACACGCTGCTATTGCTGTGTGATCTGTTTAGACAAATACTTGCTGTTTGTCAGTGTTTGACACTAATTTAATTTCACTGGTATCCACACTGACAGACACTAAAGTCAAATCAACTTCCTTTATTAAAAACACGTGTGTTGTAACAGACACAGAGTTATTATTGACCACCAGTAGATAACAACCTCAATGCATGAATCTGAATCAGCAATGTAAATATTATAATATATAACCCTCATAATGTTCCTGTTGTCCTAGAATAATCTAATAATAATGAATGTTAAAGTGAGAAGTAGAGGAAACTACTTTAAAAAGAGGAGAGAAATCAGTCTGATTATCCAGTCTGGGACAATAAACAATGATTATTAGTTAGTAAAACTTTCTCTATGAAATGTGTCATATTGGTAACCATCTCCTGTATTTGAAGCTCCAATCACTGTAATTAGACACATAATGAGATTATAGTAGGTGGTGAACAGGCTGGTAGGACGGAAGGTAAACATTTTAAAGAAAGACACTCCCTCTCCTAAAAAGAAGAGTTTACTGACATTAAAATGTTGATTCATTTATCAACATTTAGTACAGACACACATTACATGTAGAAGCTCTTTTGTCTTTTTCCACTCACTGTTCTCATATTTGAAATCCTGTTTCTTTAGTTTTTAATGTTTATTTTCATACTGATGAAGGAGTTTCATAACACTGTTTATTACTTTCTGCAGGGAGGAGGAGAAGAAAGAACGGTGAGTATAATCTGTTAACTTCATACTGACATATAAGTCAACATAATATTATTGAACAAATCTAACCTTCCTGTCTCTTATATACCATAATATGATGTAAATTAATATAAAGAAATTGCTACTCACATTAAAGGTTCATTAAAAGTCACACAGCAAACATCTCCATCATCTACACATCATCCAGGTGAAATGTTTGGAGACAAAGGAAGACAAGTCGAGTCCATCCCTCTCTTTATAATGTGAGAGCGACTCACAACTGCATTGAACCACCAGTTGTCTCATTGTGACGAGGAGGGAAAATACACTTACAGTTTGTAACAGGGACAATAAACAATGATTATTAGTTAGTAAAACTTTTGGAGGAGAAATTCTTCCAAATATTGAGAGTTTACTGACATTAAAATGTTGATTCATTTATCAACATTTAGTACAGACACACATTACATGTAGAAGCTCTGATTTGATCTGTCCGCGACGCTCTGCGTTCCCGCACCGCTTCCTATAACTCGGGACTGGGAACATGGAGGAATACAAGTCGGCCTCTTACAGTGCCCGCAGAGCGGTGAAAGAGGCTCAACACCGCTACGGCCAAAGACTGGAGAAACTGATGGAACAGTCTGATTCAAGGGGACTGTGGCAGGGACTACGCACCATCACGGATTACAAAGCAGCACCCCCCACCCCCGTTGAGTGCCAACGCTTCGCTGGCTGACGAACTCAAAAACTTTTTTGCGCACTTTGAGTCGGGAAATCGACTGCCCGCTGCGCTCCCAGCCGGAGGGGGGGACACTCGCCGTGACGGAGCGTGACGTGACGAAGGTGTTTAAAAGTGTGAACACCAGGAAAGCGGCTGGACCAGACGGGATTAGTGGACGTGTCCTCAAAACCTGCGCTGATCAGCTGGCACGTCTGTTTACAGTGATATTCAACCTCTCACTCAGACAGTGTGTGATCCCAACCTGCTTTAAGAAATCCATAATAGTCCCTGTCCCAAAGAAACCACACCCCAGCAGTTCCAATGACTTCAGGCCCAAAGCCCTCACATCTGTGGTGATGAAATGTTTTGAAAGACTGATCAAGACATTTATCACCTCTACACTGCCCACCACCCTGGATCCACTACAGTTCGCATACCGCCCGGATAGATCCACAGATGACGCCATAACCCTCCTCCTCCACAAGACCCTTTCCCATGTGGACACTGGTAAGGGAAACTATGTGAGAGTGCTGTTTGTTGACTACAGCTCAGCATTTAATACTATAGTCCCCTCCAGACTGGCCTCCAAACTGTTAGACCTGGGTCTGGACTCCTCCCTGTGCATTTGGATCTACAGCTTCCTGACTGGCAGACCACAGGTGGTTCGAGTGGGTCACTACACTTCAGCCCCCCTGACTCTCAACACTGGATCCCCCCAGGGTTGTGTGCTCAGCCCTCTGCTGTACTCGCTGTACACACAGGACTGCGTGGCCACGTCAGACTCCAACATCATCATCAAGTTTGCTGACGACACCTCTGTTGTAGGACTAATCTCCCACGACGATGAGACAGCCTACAGGAGGGAGGTCTCCCACCTGGAGGACTGGTGTCGGGAGAACCACCTCCTGCTGAACGTCAGCAAAACTAAGGAACTGATTGTGGACTTCAGCAGGAAACAGCAGAGGGACTTCCATCCACTCACTATCTGTGGCTCTGAGGTGGAAAGAGTGGACACTTTCAGATACCTGGGAGTGACCATCTCACAAGACCTGTCATGGACTCATCACCTGAACACCATTGTGAAGAAAGCCAGACAGCGTCTCTACCTCCTCAGACGCCTCAGAGACTTTAAGCTCCCTCTCAAGGTGCTCAGGAACTTTTACACCTGTACCATCGAGAGCATCTTGTGTGGAAGCATCATCACCTGGATGGGAAACTGCACCAGGCAGGACTTCATGGCCCTCAAAAGGGTGGTCCGTTCTGCAGAGCTACCACCCTTTAAGTTTTACACTTGGAGTCTGCAGTCTATATTTTATATGTTATATTACAGTCTATATTTTATATGTTATATTACAGTCTATATTTTATTTTATTTTTTTCTTAGTTTTATATTTACACTTATAGTGTTTACATTGTGTGTTATGTGCAATCACTACTGTTTTACTGTAGTAGTATTTTGTTTTTCTTTACTACTGGCTGCAGGTACAAAGAATGCATTTCACTGTGCATTGTACTATGTATAACTGCATGTGACAAATAAACCTCTTATCTTATCTTATCTTATCTTTTGTCTTTTTCCACTCACTGTTCTCATATTTGAAATCCTGTTTCTTTAGTTTTTAATGTTTATTTTCATACTGATGAAGGAGTTTCATAACACTGTTTATTACTTTCTGCAGGGTGGAGGAGATACTGAAAGCACTGTGAGTATAATCTGTTAACCTCATAAAGATTCTTTCACACATAATATATTGATGAAGCTGTGAACATCATTAAAACCTCTTTAGTTTAGTTACATTCATCTTTTCTGTCACTTGTATCTGTTGTATCCACACTGACACTGAAGTTCAATCAACTTTATTTTATTGAAGATCAACAACTGTAAATATTATAATATATAACCCTCATAATGTTCCTGTTGTCCTAGAATAATCTAATAATAATTCATGTTAAAGTGAGAAGTAGAGGAAACTACTTTAAAAAGAGGAGAGAAATCAGTCTGATTATCCAGTCTGGAACTGTTGTGGATTTAAGTTTCTAACTGGAGCCACAGACCACCAAGAAACAAGGATTGCCATCAGTCATCCATTTATTAACCAATCCAATGTTGCCTTTCTAGGATGATGATAACCATGGTTCTAAACAAAGAAAGAACAAATTACAATATTTCTAAAAACCAGTCATTAATCCAGTCTTTAAATCATGTTCAACATTTACACATTTAAGTATCATAAATCTCTCAACTAAAGATTAGACTGACATATAAGTCAACATAATATTATTGAACAAATCTAACCTTCCTGTCTCTTATATACCATAATATGATGTAAATTAATATAAAGTAATTGCTACTCACATTGAAGGTTCATTAGAAGTCACACAGCACACATCTCCATCATCTACACATCATCCAGGTGAAATGTTTGGAGACAAAGGAAGACAAGTCGAGTCCATCCCTCTCTTTATAATGAGAGAGCGACTCACAACTGCATTGAACCACCAGTTGTTTCATTGTGACGAGGAGGAAAATACACTTACAGTTTGTAACAGGGACAATAAACAATGATTATTAGTTAGTAAAACTTTTGGAGGAGAAATTCTTCCAAATATTGAGAGTTTACTGACATTAAAATGTTGATTCATTTATCAACATTTAGTACAGACACACATTACATGTAGAAGCTCTTTTGTCTTTTTCCACTCACTGTTCTCATATTTGAAATCCTGTTTCTTTAGTTTTTAATGTTTATTTTCATACTGATGAAGGAGTTTCATAACACTGTTTATTACTTTCTGCAGGGAGGAGATGAAGAAAGAACGGTGAGTATAATCTGTTAACTTCATAAAGATTCTTTCACACATAATATATTGATGAAGCTGTGAACATCATTAAAACCTCTTTAGTTTAGTTACATTCATCTTTTCTGTCACTTGTATCTGTTGTATCCACACTGACACTGAAGTTCAATGAATTTTATTTTATTGAAGATCAACAACTGTAAATATTATAATATCTAACCCTCATAATGTTCCTGTTGTCCTAGAATAATCTAATAATAATTCATGTTAAAGTGAGAAGTAGAGGAAACTACTTTAGAAAGAGGAGAGAAATCATTTTTGCAATATTATGGTCATTGTTGTTTTGACGATGTGCAAATTTCCATTATCGAGTATTTCAATTATTTTTAATTATTATTAAAAATATTGAAATGCACGCGGAAAATCCTCACATCCACCTAATACACGGTGCAGCAACGCTCTCTACAGCATGGCAGGATTCAGTCACACGACTAGTGGGCCTACGTGATCACATGCTATGATCACATGACCTCTCGCTAGCATGCTCCTTGCAACAGTTTAGCAGCGCGTTGTAGAGAGACAATGCAAGCACCTCCATTCCCTGAAGCTACCGCCAGTACTTCAGACGATTTAGTGTCGACACGTGGGTCTACCTCTCTGGCATGGAAATGGTTTGGTTTCCAAAAGACTGATGTGAAACAAAAGACGGTTTTGTGCAAGATTTGTTGAAAATCTATCACCGTGAAACAGAGCTCTACAACGAACCTGTTTCATCACCTCAGAACCAACCATAGCAAAGAGTACGAAGAATACCAGAAACTTTGCGACTCAACTGCTGCTCATGAAAAACAGAGTCTGCCTGTACCTAGTCAGCACACGCAACATACCCTTGCTGAATCATTCAGCAGAAAAGTGCCGTATGAGAGAAAAAGCCAACGATGGCAAGACATCAACAACAAATGCTATCACCAACTTCATAGCCAAAGAGATGTTGCCGATGCAGTTGATGGAGAGCGAAGGCTTTAAAGAACTTGTGAATGTCCTAGACGCGCGATACACAGTGCCTAGTTGGAAATATTTCAGTGAAACTACTCTCCCCAGTCTGTATGATTCAACTCGCAAAACTGTGGTGGATGAAGTGCAAAAGGTGACACACTTCGCAACAACAACCGATTTATGGTCGAGCAGAACATCGGAGCCATATCTCTCTCTGACCGTGCATTTCATTGATGAATCTTGGCTACTTCAGAGCTACTGTTTGCAAATGTCCTATTTCCGAGATGATCACACAGTAGACATCATTGCCCTTGGTCTGAAAGATGCTCCCGCATCATGGTCGTTGACTGAAGAGGGCATGGTCTGCATGACCACCGACAGCGGTGCAAATGTCGTCAGTGTACTCAGAAGTAACAACTGGAAAAGACTACCGTGCTTTGGGCACCGGCTTCATATTGCAATTGGTGAGTTCTCTCATTTGAATATTCTTATTTAATGCAGTTGATATGAAATAATTTTTTTTTGAGTGTCAACCATGTCAAGATAAAAGTGAAAATAAATCAGTTTAAGTAAGGGATAATGCCTGACGAGGTGTCCATAATCAGGAATTAATGGACTTCGCGGCGGCAACGTCGTCCATTAATTCCTGATTATGGACACCTCGAAGGGCATTATCCCGCTTGTACCATGGTCACTTGCCAAAGAAAATAATTTTATTTTTAAAAAAATCTTAATTAATTTATATTTTCATGCGTTAGGGTTAGGGTTAGTTTTTCACAAGCCATAACTTAGTTTCCCTGGTAGCGCCTGAGGGTTTGACTAATACCTGGAACAATCATTACCCTCCCTTAAGGTTCTTATGCAACGGAAACGTTGTTCACTCCTCCAGTAAATAAGACGGACCTTAGATACGTCTTGGCAACGGGGAGATATTCTAGTCCCCTCAGCTTTGAGCCAGAGAGCTAACGTTATTCTAGCAAGATTCAAAGTCAATAACACTGCGTACGGTTGACAAACAGTAAATATAATTTGACAGTATGTTTAACAACAAGACTAGCTAGCTAACCAGCCATGTCATTGTCCCCAAATCAATATCAAGATTTTCACGAACAAATGATCCGCCGTGTATAACGTTACTGTCGGCCACGGCATGAAGTAGAGAGTTGAACAGCGAACGGGATGTGAGATTATTCGCTTATGTGATACAAAGTATCAGTAAGTTTAGAGGGTAAGTGTACTTTCTGCAGCTTGTGTGTTACAGTCGCCATCCTGTGGTGTTCAGAGGATAAGGCACTGAAGGACTGACGGACTGTTGACAGGCTAATACGATAGCGCATTAATTTAGAACGGTGAACAGACAATTTGACTGGAACTACTTAGTAAGTGTCCGTATATCAGGGATTATTGGACACCCTGCAGCCAATCAGAGTTTTCCCCCAGACCATGGTATAAGAAAATATAAATATATTTTTATAGGTGTTTTATTATTTGACAGTTAACAAATACCCTACTAGGACCGAGCCATTGGAGTCTGCAAGAAGGTAGTTGGAGCCTTTTCCAACAGCTGGAAATTGAAGAAAGCACTGGGTGATGCTCAAGATCTGCTGAAGCTCCCAGAGCATAAACTCATCACAGAATCACCAACAAGATGGGGCTCAAGACAGCGCATGATTGAGAGATTTGTTGAGCAAGAAAGGGCCATTTGTCATGTGCTGGGTGCAGACAAGAAGCACAGGCATCTTATCCCATCATGACAAGATGTTGATGTGCTAGAATCAGTGAGCAAAGCACTTAGTCCCCTGCTAGAGTTTCGGATGCTCTTTCAGGTGAGCAGGTAGTGACCATCTCCTACCTGAAACCGGTCTTGTTGTTGTTCAACTCTGAGGTCCTGGCAGTGAAGTGTGATGACACAGAGCTCACAAAGAAAATCAAAGAAACCATACTGGAATACCTTAACACCAAGTACAGAGATGACAATGTGGATGGCCTATTAAGTGTGGCATCCACATTAGACCCACGGTTTAAAAACCGTTTCAATGAGGATGACCAGGTCATAGTGTCCACAATTTCCTCTGAGCTTTTGTCTATAACAACGCAGGAAGAGAGCGATTCACTGGCTATTGGCATCAAAAAGGAGCTCAAGAGCTACCTGATGATACCAGAGGTGGACAGTGATGTGAATCCACTGGAATGGTGGAAGACACAGGAGATGAATTTCCCCAGACTGGGGGAAACTGGCTAAAAAATATCTCTGCATCCCTGTCTCAAGCAGCCCTTCAGAGAGGGCATTTAGCACAGGGGGAAATGTTGTGACATGTCATCGGGCTTCACTCAAGCCTGACAATGTGGACAGACTGGTGTTTTTGGCTCATAATCTAAAGTAGCCTTTTAATGTAATCAGTGAACTGTTAGCCTAGAATGTTAAAATGTTCAGAGTTCTGCAAAGTTTCTGGCATCTGTCCATAGCTGTAATAATACTGGGTATTTTTTCTCTCTGAGAATTGTGGAATTTTTTTTAACATTAATGTCATTTGTTTACAAATATCTATATTTTGGTACAATATTTGAGAAAACCCTTAGTGAACCTTTTTAGCAAATGATTTTTTTGTGGGTTTTTTTTTGTTGTTGTACAATCCTGGACGGAACTTGAAGTTAGTCATTTGTTTAATAAGGCCATAAGATAGACTAGATGATGATGCGCAATAGTTCTCAAAATATGCATGGAGCACTTTGTTACAAATGCTACTGTTTTTATTTTATGATATGCTCTTGTTTGTCTGCACTGCAGCACAATTTACCTGACAGCAGAACATCTGAATGTTTACAGAATTCAATATTCCTACATTGTAGTTCAATTATTGAGTTCAAAAGCTCAAAAATTGAGAGTCTTTGTTTTATTTGTACTTGAATGCTAAAGTTTAGAGAAAATAAATAAGGGTTTCCTTAAACATTGTGCCCATTATTGTAATCTTTAAGTAGGTATAAGGGTCTGTGTCCACCAAACATGTTTTTAGTGCTAACAGCGCCTTTTTTGAATAGAAATCCTATGAGCTTCAGCATTCAGAGCGTTCAGCGCCTTCAGTGGTAAAAAGATGTCAGCGGAGACGGTTTTTTTAGCGCAGCGCTCAAAGCGCTTCAAAGGATATCTACTGATTATTGTTATCGGCAAAATCCCAAAAATATCGAGATATTATTTTTTGCCCGTATCGCCCACCCCTAGTGGGAACAGAATCAACTTTTACTGAACTTTTCTGATGTCTACTTTCTTTCTACTTTCTACACTTTCTGTGTATCAGCAGTTGCTGTGGCTGATGGATCACAATCTAATTTACCACCCTGGTGGTCTTTCTCTCTTGTCCACCAGAACCAGAACCAGAACCAGTGATAGTGACAGCAACGAGTCGACTACATCCAATGTGTCCTTCAAGAGTGATAGTGAGAAGTAGAGGAAACTGTTTTAAAAGAGGAGAGAAATCATTCAGTGGGAACAGAATCAACTTTTACTGAACTTTTCTGATGTCTACTTGGTAGTTTCTGTGTATCAGCAGTTGCTGTGGCTGATGGATCACAATCTAATTTACCACCCTGGTGGTCTTTCTTGTTCACTAGAACCAGAATCAGACCCAGTGACAGTGACGAGTCGACTACATCTAGTGCGTCCTTCATGAGTGATCAGTCAAAAGAAGACTTCACCAATTGTAATCCTCTCGAGTAAGATTTTATGAACATTACAGTGTCCTGCATTCATTAACATTTTACACACACACACACACACACACACACACACACACACACACACACACACACACAGTTGGTGTTAAATAAACTACTTGTTATTACTATGTGATATAGAGCCATATAAATCAGACTTACTGTAGTTTACTGTTTATTATCAGGATCATTTTCAGACTCACAAAAACATAAATGCAACAGCAGGATTTTGTCTAATGAAGTTTTAATATCCTCTTTTATTGTGAAACATATCTGAGTGTTTGATTCTTCACACTCTTTAGAATAAATGAGGA